CCCCTCTCTCTCTCTCTCTCTCTCTTCCCCCCTCCCCCCGCCAAGCGCACAGGTGAGTGCGATGCAAGCAAACAAGGAACTCAACAAATAAAGGGAGTCAAAGCAAAGAATGTCCTCCAATTCCAAAAGTCTCTTTACCCCTCCCCTCTCTCTCATCACCTCACAGGTAGCTATTGCTGTAATGCGTATATATCGATAAGGACATACACACAAATATATGTTTCTAGACTACCTCATCCCAGCGAATAAGCAAGTGAGAAAAACGCACAGGGAGATGAAACTCACCATCTTTTTTTTCCCCCTTTTCACCGCCAACACTCAATATGGTAAGTGCTGCATGTAGCAGACAATACGTACATGCGAGAAACGTCCACAGAAAACGGCAAGGCGGGAAGTTCTGCAACAGCAAAGAGGAGACACTAAAGAGCGACCGGTACCCCACAGCTACCCCCCCCCCCTTTCTGCGGCAAAAAAAAAAACAGAATAAGAGCCCGAGGAATTTTGAGCGACGACAAAAAGAATTATATACATAATTCATTCAATGGTTGAAAATAATGCACAAACGGTCATCCGCCTCCTCCCTCCCATAACTTCCCTTTGAAGTTCTTCCTTTTTTGGCAAAAATTATTCCTCCCAAAATTCTCTTTTGAGGAGCTGCATCGCCAACACCTCTTTGAATTTCTCCACTGATACGTGCCCCTCTGCATCGGCAGCATGCTCAATTGCCTCCACGTTTTCATGGGAAAGGCCAAGGCCTCCTTCGCTGGCAGCCGTTGCTAAGTTCTTGCATGTGTTCCGTAGCTGACTTACCGTCACCCAACGCTGCCTCGTCACATCAATGAGATCAAACATCGTTTCTAGATCCTGCTCTGTGAAGAGCGGCGTCGACGTTTTTGCCTCTAACATGAGTCGGATCTCTTGCTGCAGGAAGGCACGGGGATTCTCCGGTTTATGGTAGATGAGTAATTGAAGAAAATGCGCAAACAGCTTATTAAGCTTGTGCTGCTTGACGTACATGTAAGTACGCGCCACCTGATCGCTGGCGTCCGATGCACCCTCCATCTCACGGCACTCTATCCCCTTCTTTCCACCCACGTGCAGTACTTCCCCCGTGAATGCGAAAAAAACCCAGCAACAAGGAAATATATATATATATATATATATATACGGACAGAGTAAATAAATAAAAACAATCAACGCAAACAAGAAAAAAACAACAAGAAATAATTCATCTTACACTCACACGCAGCAAAGTTGCAAGCAGGAAATACCAAAAACAAAAACTGTGTACACGCCACCGAGAAGCACTAATGTGTGACACAGAGGAAATGATTCAAATAGTTCAAAATACATACTATCGCCTTTCTCCTCCGGGTCCTTGCCGAGGGAGTCGCCCCCGCTATACATGTACTGATTTTCTTACTTCATACTCTACGCCAGTATAACGAGTACTCCATCTTTCTTTACGCCTCTCTTCCATTGCTTCACATCCCCCCCCCCATAAGGCCCAAATTCTCTCACACTACCACAGACGGGAATGAATGAAGGAAAAGAAAAAGCGACGCACATGCCGCGGAAGAATCGCAAATAAAGTCAAAAAAAAAAAGTTAAACAAAGAAGAAAAAAAGAAACACAAAAACACACACATAAAATGAACACTTCTCGTTCAGTAACGTCTTCGACGTTGTCGCTCCAAGCTAACCACGAGAGCTGCTCGCTCTAATCGCTTCTGATATACCTCCAGCCCGCTCAACAGGCTTGAAAGCTCATCTTCGAGTAACTTGGAACCTTCATCATGGTCGTATTCAGGTTCTTCGAAAATATGGTACTTGTTGGATGGTGGTGTTGTGGCGTACAAGCTTCGGTGCGCCATAGAATGTGGAAAATAAGAGGGAATAAGAGCCTTCTTCAAATCCCTTGGCTGATTGTCCATTTGCTGCAACTGGGAAAAGGTGGTAGCCCGCCTAGGTGGGGTCCCGTAGGCGCCAAGAAAACGCATCAGATCCTCATTCTCTAAGGGTTTAGAACGAAAATGAGAGCCCGGTTGTGAACGTGCACGAAACGCAATGGCCCGCGACGCCGCGTAAGAAGTGCCAGGCGAAGACTGTCGCTGACTTATTTGCCCTTGCCGTAGACTATGTACATTCTCATTTCTGTCATACCCTCGATCACCGTTTAATGTCTGTGGTACGCCACGCCCACCTCCCAAAACTTCTCTCGTTGAAGGATGTATATCACGATCGTCGCCGCGTACATTTTCACCGGACCTTATCCGCGAGAAGGGTCTTCCGTGGGCAGTAAAACCACTGGATTCACGTTCATTCTCTCCATTGCCTCTTGAGGAGTCAGTTGTCAGGTTCCACCTTCCTGCACTGGAGGATTTTGCCGCATTTTTCTCCTCCACTGACCTCACTGTACCGTTAAAATTCAATGGCATTCCCTTGTCCATGTTTCCCCTCAAACTTTGACCAGTGGAGGCCGGAGCACGAGAGAAATAGTCCTTACTTTCTTTTGCTATGATTGACGTTCGCGCGCCTGCAGAACACGGAGCATTTCTTTCGTCCATTGGACCAAGGTTGCCCTCTTCCCGTATGTGACTCCTCTGTTCTACTGGTTTGCTCACCGAAGAACTCGCACCACCAGTGGAAGTAATTCCCTTTGATGAAACATTCTCTGTGGAGGGAGATAGCTTTCGTGCCACGGCGTCTCGTGCGCGACGCCAGCTACCAATGTTTGAATCACTTTCTTGAGCCGCTGTGTCCACCCCACCGTTTGTCTTGTATGAAGAAGAATTTTGTCGAGCGGTTGTACTAGCGGCAGGCACCGTTGCATTGGGTCGTGTGAATGGCGGAGTCAACGCCACCAATTTTAAGCGTGCATTGGCATCCATGGGTGTAATTGCCAAGCGGGCGTTCGACAAAACAGCACCAACCGCGTCACGCAGAAGCGTGGAAGTGTCTCAGTGGGGTGTCCCAATGCTCTTCCAAACTTTACTGTCAACGTCTTAGACGTACACGGCGGTGGTCGCAGTTCGTAGCAGATGTATTGCTGGCAATTCCTGAAGCTGGGGAGAGAACAAAAAACAAGAACGAAAAATGGGCAACGATGCAGACACAAACAAAAAAAAAGTTTATATAATGACCTGCAAGCTTACCCGGAGCCCTGAAGGAAAATAACAAACACTACGCGAGAGGTTGGAGAAGGCTGTGACGCCCTCCCCCACCCCCAAAAAAACAAACAAACAAACAAACAAAAACGGAGGAGCCCACTCAACCTGCTCTCATCCCTCCCCCGCCCCTGCTCACAACAAAACCGAAAAAAAAAAACAGCAGGAACAAAAATCACGAAGAGAGATAGCCAGGGAATAGAAAAGACAAAACGCGGGAGAAAATAACAGATAAATGCCATAACATGAGGGAGTGAGGAAAGACTCCCCCTTTCCCCTTTTGTATGTGTACGCCTTCTCTTGTTTTTATTGTTGAAGCTTTTACAACCCCATTACATGGCACCCCCTCGCACGCAGCATCATAAGTAACTACGCTCCGTGTGGTGATATTATTAACAGCACATCTCCTTCCCTTCCCTTTCCTCCCTCCCTCTCTAAGCGTAAAAACGGACACTCATATCACTTACCCCCACTGGGAGAAACAACTGACGTGGCAAGGAAGACTTCCTCAATTAAGCACACATGGGGTTTAGATCAGGTAATACTGTATGAAGTAGATTGTGGCGAAGGGGTTAGCTACAAGCCGCCCAAAAAAAAAAAAAGGTTGGTTGCGCCACCACAATACCAAGCTTCCCACGTACGCGGAAGATCAATCCAAACAAGGGTACAGAAAAAAACAAGCACAAGATGATGCTTCATCCCTAAACATTCTCGGGCTCTGTATATCACATGAGAGAAGCATAAGATGCATACATATATAACTTCCACATAGCTATGCATGCAAATTAAGGTCATTGCCTTCTCGTTTCCGAGATACGGTATCAAAAAGTTCTGACCGTTATTTACACACAAGATAAAAAAAAAAAAACAGCACCCCTACCACTTCAGCTAATAAGCTCTGTTTTTTTTTTTATTCATTTTCATCCATCTTCACTACTTAAAAAAAAATTCTGTGGTTCGTTCCTTCGCTTTGCCCACTCAAAACAAACACGCCGTAAAAAAAATAATAATAATAATAATAACAATAATAATAGTCTTTCCGCATCGGGTATTCTTTTCCTTCCTTCTTCCTTCCGTTGTTCGGTTCCATGAGCTTCGCTGCAGGCACCCATTTAAAGATTTACATTCAGGTATCCAAGAGGCAACGCACCATGAAGTCAGCTGTAGGCAAAGATACAGGCGTGCGTGCAGCGTTACCCGGGCACGATGGTACCGGCCACGAGACAGTAGTACTGAAAGAAGAAGCAGCAGCCTCCCCGGAACATTTATCAGGGAAATCAACAGTCAGAGTTTCGCCGTTATCCGCTGCAGTGTCGCTCATCACGGTATTGCATCCAGCCGCATTTTTCGCTTCGCTAGATGCAGCTGGACGCTCACCCATACCAGCAAACGCCAACTCTTGTGTTCCACCGCTAAGCAAGGCCTGACATGTCAAGTCTTCCCTAGCAAATGCAGCATTCCGTTGACTCATATGAAGACTGCCGTTATTCTTTTTCACACTTGTATAGGCAAACGTCCGTGGACCTGACGTGAGCTCCTTGTGAGTTGGCTTTTCTAAGACACCTCCGGTGTCTTGTTTCCACTTTTTCGAACTCTTGAATGAAAGGGACGCAGCGGTTGTGGATTTCGCAGATGGTTCATTCTGGGGTTTTGCTGGTGAAAGCGGCTTTGTTCTTCTGCTGGGGATCTTCAACGTTGATGACCCATTACTGGCGTATGCATTAGTGGATTTTGCAATTTTCTCCCCCAGTGCGACGCTTCCGTCATGCAACTCACTCACTTCATCAAGATCATTAGAGGGCACCTCATTGAGCCCCCTGCTCTTCTTCGCCGCCATGATGGGTACGGCAGCGTCATGCACAGTTAAGGGGAACTTCGTGTTCAACTCATTTGTGTCATTATGCGAGAGGGGAGTTGGTGTCGTATCCTTCACCCCCATCTCAAATACGGGGGTGGAAATGAAGGCCGTAGAGACAACGGGGATGTTGGCTTCGGGGCAAGCCGCATCTCCCCCACCTTCCTCCTCCTGGTTTTTTTCGACAGAAGCTGGCAATTCAACGCCCGCCCCAGTTGATGCTAGCGTAGGGATTTTTACTTGAGATTCCTCTCCCTTTTCGCTCGGAAACACAAGGCGTTGTGAACCCGCCCTTTTCTTGCCCACTCTTTCCGGCACAATGATTTCAGTAGGCCGATGCGAAATCCGTCCTGCATCCCGTATATGATGTGAAGGCGCATCAGACTCCATTATTGTTCTCCGCCGTGGTGAGATAACTCGATCGTCAAACACTTCAACAGCCTCGGCAGCATTGAAGCCAAAAACAACTCTGTTTGGTGTTGCATGACGCTCCTCCTCTATCCTCGTGACAGGAACTCTGCTGGGGCTGGTCATTGTTCTTCGCGCGCTGCCGGTAGATTCTGTGCAAGGTGGGGCAAAGACAGTCGACACAAACGTCCTCCAACCTGGTTCCCCTTCATGAGTCTTTTCTGGGTTATCATAGACAAACAAACTGTGCCGATGCAAGTTCAACAAGATCCCCGAATCATTCGCTTCTTCATAGGAAGGGGATATAGAAGAACAATCTTTTTCTCTTTGCATTGAACCACCTGATTCATTGCTTCCACGGTAGACGCTTCTGCGACCGCTGTTGATTTTGAAGGGCCACCTGTCATCAGGAATAATCAATGGAACTCTATAGGGGCTATAGGACGTGACATGCAAAGTATCATGTGAGCTCTGCCTTAGAGATGAAGTCGACCTCCCTCGAGCTGTGCGTCGATGAACAACCGAGCGTCGAGGAGGAACCGACTGTCGACGAGGGGTTGGAGTGTTGGAATAACGAACATTATTGTGCAAATATTTTATTTGACTTTCCTTATGCCAATGGAAATGATGGTCGTGACGGGTTTGATCCCAGTCAGCAGGATAACTGCTTTTGTCATGCATTTTTTGTACTGGCTCGGGTGATGCCGAGTTGGAGTTGGAGTGGATGCCCATCAGAAGATCCCGCCGCGTTCCCCCTGGAAATACTCGTGCTGGCATCAGGATTTCTTCCGATGACACAGTTTTGTGATGATACTCATCGCGCTTTACATTTGGCACACGTCGCCTCAACGTGGAATTGCCCCTTTCAGCTTCCACTCTTGATCCTGGTTGAGTCATTGGGTTCAAGCAAATTTTTTTTTTTTTTTGCCTTTTGATGTTGGAAATTGTAGACGAAAACGATATTTCTATGCGGCTACAAATACGCGGATGGTTACACCACCTCTTATTCTCCTCACTGGCTCCGTTGCAAAACCCACGATTCGATGAGACGCAGGAGCAAAGCGAATAATAATAATAATAAAAAAAAACAGAAGAACAGAAAAAAGAAAGTTTGGAGCTGGGGCAAAAAAAAAGGGGCGTACGAGGATGATAGGAAAAAAAAAAAGGTATGAGGAGTCATGCAGAAAGTACGCCGTGTTGTCTTGTCAGCCTTCCTCCCACGCGTGATGTGCACACTGTTAGAAAATGAAAACCCCATCCCCACAGTGGGCAGACACACACCTGTAGATATCTACATACGTATGAAGAAGTCTCTCCTATAATGAAAGCAACCAAAAACCCAACATCTCCTTTTTCTATTTACATATAATGAAGGAAATAATAATCAAATCTAAACTTATATATATATATATATGGGAAGCAACTACATGTACGGAGAGAGACGTATGTGAAAACAAAAAAAAAAAAACAATCTTTCACCAGGAGGATCAAGAAATGCCTCCTTTGTTGCTCTTGCCAAAGTGATACAGCACAAGCCCGCTTGATGTAACCTCAGCCGACCGAATCTTAACGGTGGGCCTTACTGGAACAGTGTATGGAACGGGTCTGGTAGGCACTTTCGTAGTCAATCCTTTATTGTGCAGCTCCGGGGCGAGTGTAAGCTGTGCAGTGCTCGAGATTTCGATTCCACGCAATTTTGCCTCTTCTTGATTAACACGATACATAATAAAATTTGCCTCGCCGTTCAACACCATCACACGAAGGTACCGCCAGCGAATAAGCGCCCGTTGCCGTTCCGCCTCATATGACCCGTCGGCAAAGCGCGCGAGGGCGGACGTCATGATGAGGAATGCGGTAGCTCCACCAACATCTGTGACATTCCCTAGAGAGGAGCGTTGAAACACGGAGGTGGGTAGCCGTTGAACCTCATGGGTTCGCTTAACTCTCATACTTAGTCTACCAATGCTCTCGGGTGTCTCGCCAGGCAATATAAAGGGCATCCTGCTGTGATACGAAACTCTTTGAATTTCGACGTCTTTAAAGTCAAAAACCTCCAAATTTTTATCGAGAAAAAAGTCTTTTGGCCTTTTCGGAGATATCGGCTGCAGCGTCGACAACGAACGCGTATCCAGCGTATCACCAATGTTTTTTGTTCGTATCGAGGAGCTGCTAGACAAGCTGTCATCACTGTCTTCTGCTACAGTTCGGATAGAGCCCCTCTTCTTCTTTTTACGATGTGCCGCTTTTTCTTCCTCCCTTGTCGCCCCCAGGCGTGAAGCAATCCACTGCCTAGTCTCCGTATAAAAATTTTGCGCCCACGCCGCAACATCATATTTTTCGTCCAACACTGCGACAGGGCATGTCGCATCTGGCAGAAGTTTGTCAGTGTGAACCGCGCTCCGTGAATGATACAAGACTGCAAAGCGTTGTGTGTTGTTGCTACCACGGGTGCTTGGCAGCGTCGGCAGCAGGGTAGGGTCACTACCGAGACGATGCGTGCGACCAACGAAGACATTAGGATCGGCAACCTCTTCACGAGAGAATCGGGATTCCTTTCTCTTTTCACCCCCCGACACCAGGCGACAAAGCTCAGTTTCAGAGACACTTTGCTCGTCATCCCATCCCATGCTGAATTGATATGCAGTACTGCCACTCCGCGAATTAATTGAGGCGGCGAGTAAATCGCTATCACTACCGATAGTAACAGAATCCGCTGAGTTGGAGGCGTTTACCATCCGCCGCTTTAAGACTGGCGTGAAGAGTAGCATGATGTAGTCCTCCGTACCAATACCACCATGCATGACAACAAGTGTGTGGGGCGCACGGGACCCTCCTCGCATCGCTGAGGACTCGGTCGCCGCGAAGGCGTACTTTCGTTGAAAGCGTGACACACCACTGGCGGAAAAGACCGGTAGCAGCCGTTTGCTTCCCATCGAGATCCTGCTGTGTTGCCCCACCTCACCCGTACCACGTTGGCCACCCATAGAACCGTGTCGCGAGGTCTTGCGTGCCATCAATTCGGTCACCACACGCCTGGGAAACTTTATGGGGACCATGGACCACGTCATGTCACGCAACTGTAGCCTAAAAAGTCCATAACTGGCGCATCGCGCCCTTGTCCGCGCTCTAGCATTGGTCGTTAGCTGTGGTGAAGCTCTCTCCACTTTCCTCCACGCGAGGAAACTCACAATGGGGGTTAAAAGCATTGGAAACAACCATTCCTGGCGGCTATCATCATAGACACCGCCCAAGCTAATAACATTTAGAATAAAATATTCCCACACACTACTAATGTTAAACGAGATGGGAGTTTCTGGAGAAACCGGAGTCTTTACTTCCACCCACATGCCGGAGTGAACATTCATCATGAACACACTGGGTGCATCACACGGACCCGTCAGTAAGACACTTTCTTCCACAATTCCAATGACGATGATAGAGCTGGTTGGGCTGTGATATGCCGCACAGCACATTTGGACATGAAGCGGGTTCACGGAATTTGGTCCACGAATACCATTCCAGACTCGGTTTCTAATATCAAAGGAGTGTGCAATATACATGTTGTGTTGACGCTGATGAAATCCTCCAATAACCACCATTGCCTGTGTCGGTGGCACGTACACTGCCACATGTGAAAAGACAGGACCAGGCCCTTGAGCTCGCTCGCAGTTCACCTTCTCCCATCGCATGGTTTCAAGGTTAAGAATGTACAGATCATCAAAAACATCCAAATTTCGATGACCCCCAAAGACAATCATTTTCTTTTCGTGCAGAATGGCACTGTGGTTGGCACGTCCTCCTGGCACCACACCGACACCACGCATCTCCTTCCACTGCAATGTCATTTTAACATTGCAAAATATGCCAGTCGGATAAACATTCTTGGGCCCATAGCCCCCGTAAAGGTACAAGTCATGCTTGTAGACCACAATGGTGTGACCAACCCGCTGCAGGCCGTTGTTCAGCTCGGGCAAAATCGCTCCCCGGTACGTGGTGATTGTCATGCTGTCGTCGCATACACCCTTTCGGTCGATGGTGGTGGAGAGCATGCTCCGATTCCGTGACATTTGGCCCGGCCAACTACGTGACGCTGCTGCAAGGGCAAAAAAATAATAATATTTGAGAGGCAATACACCTCCCTATCGCACCTTCTGCCCCTCACACACACAAAATCATACTTATCAGCGGTGTGTTATTCCCGCAGCAGAATACACAAACAACAAAACACAAAACAACAACAACAGCAAGAATAAAATAGTGAAAATATGCTAAGCATAAAAAAAAAAAACGCAACCACAAACGCAGAGAGAAACACATTGAGAACAAAGTGCAAAAGCAACAAGAGCTACATCACAAAAAAAAAAAAAAAAAGTATAAAAACAACGACAGCAAACATTTAAAAAAAAAAAAAATACCCAATCAGCACGCACAGCCTCAATTCACGCTGCCTTATCTTCTCTCAGCGAAGCGGCATCGGGGTTGGTTTATGCATCGCGAGGGACATCAAACCAAAGGCACATTTTAAGCATAAATGTAAAGGGTAGCACCGGCGCAGAGAGGATCTCAATCAGCTCAACGTCTTCTGCACTCGTCTCACTATCATCAGGTGCGACCTTGTTAAGTTTCTCAACAACTTTCTGAGTAAAAAATTCTGAACCAGAGAAAATTCGCTGTTGAGAGGCCTCGCGCCGAAGAGCCTCACAAGCGTCCAACGCCACCTGTAACTCGCGATGCAGGCCAACAACGTACCGCATTTTACTTTTTGTCAAAACAAGCTCAAATAATGCTAGCTCCCTCTCTTGTGGTGTGAGCGGTAACCCACGTCTCTCCATGCGGCTCGCAAGCACCTCAAGCTCTTCCTCAGCCGCTGCCCGCACACGTCCAGCCGCCTCCTTCGCCATAAGTTCCACCTCTGGTGCCTCTCCCCGTATAATTAAGTTGCAGTGTTTCAGGACACTAAAACGCCCATCCTGGCCTGCAATATGTGTAGTGCCACTCTTCTCCCCCAGTGCACTGTGAAGATGTTCTGGCGTGAGGCCGAGTGTTTGCGCCGTCGTGAGCACAGCACGCCCAATAGCCCCCTTCTGCAGTTCCCAACGTTTCTTCTCTCGTGTCAAGTATTCGTCCAGAAGAGCCATCCTATTCTTTTCATGCTCTTCCACCTCCGTACTTCGTGGACAAAGCGGATTCTCGGCATCCTCGCCATCAGTCAGCGTCATCTCAAAAGAGGTCTCTAGCAGCGTTACCCGCAACGCACTCGGCTGCTTCCAGAAGGGTGGGTTACCACAAACAGGGATACCTGAATCTCCTGAACGGGGGTGCTCTCTCTCAGCCTTGATGAATGCCTCGGCGCTGTCATCGGAGTGTTTATCAAGGACATAACGACGCGTTGCTTCCGTTGAGAATTCAATGTCTTCCGGCCCCACGGGAAGCGCATACTCCTTGACATCATTTGCGGCCGTTGTTTCAGAAGGGCCGACGGGTGTAGAAAGTGGTGTGCCTTCTGTCTTCTCCTCGGTCCCTTCTCTCATTTGTTTGCAGACGCGCTTAACAGTTTCTGCGAGTACAGACGCAAGATCCGCAGCCCTCTTCGCCTCACCATTTGAAAGACAAATTGTTAGCTCCCGATGCAAGCGAAGCGCGGATGGATGAGCCTTAAAAACATCCGTGAGTGTTGTCATCGGGTCTCGGCCGTCTCGCGAAGCGTTTGATAATGCCGCCATCGACGAAGTCATTTCGCCCTGCCTGCGGCATCCACGGCGCTGCAACAGCGTTGCCCCCTTCCAGCAAGCTGCACCGCTCTGTGCTGGTAGAAGGATCCCACGTACACCGGCTTGACTTCTCATCTCAAGCACCGTTAGCCGGGGTCGGTGTCCTACAAGCATGCCAAAGCAAAAATAAAAAATAAAAAATGAAGGACCAAATGAATAGCTATCACACCTACAACCTCCCACGACGGTGATTGTCAACCCCCCACCCAAATAAAAGTAAACAATAATCAACTGGTTGCCTACTGGACAAGGTGAAGCATTGCAAGAACACATCCCGCTGTTGCTTCATTTCTAAAAAAAAAAAAAAAAGCAAAAACAATACAAAAAGGAGTGGGGGTTCGATGTTCGTATTACCTCACTTTATCCCCTCCTCTCTCTCTCTCTTTTTTTTTTTACTCATCTTTGCAACGCGCATGGAGGGCTGAAAAATAACCAATTGAATCTTATAGTGTACAAAATATCCGTCCATTGAGGAAAGCCACGAGGTGAACACCACAACAAAAACCACCGCATCAGCGTGCACCTCACGTGTAGTCTGCTGACCGAGTTAGTACAACCCGCACAGCAAAAAATAAAAATAAAATAAGCAATCAAGCAACCGACAAGACAGAAACAGAAGACCCCAAGTTGTTAAAACACAACAAAAAAGATGTGAGGGAAGAGACCCAAACAAGTTTACACTGCCAATGAGGCCATAAATCGTTGAGCCAACGATGGATCTAGTTCTACACGTCGGCGAAAGTGGTGGTCCTCCTTAAGTTTGGCTTTCAGCAGTGAAAGTCTTTTCTGCTTATCTGCCTCCTCGACAAGAGCCTTCTGTCGTTCGCGCTGCTTGACACCTCTTCTATACAATTCCTCACAAACTAGTTTTTGGGAGCGAGATGAAGATCGTTGCGGGGAGGTGGCTGGAGCCGGGTTGGCATCGACCTTCTTTCCCCAAGACAACGACGCCAAAGTGGCTCTACCGTAGCTTCCAGCCGCCGAACAGCATCGCATGTTAAATTTTTTGTTTGTCCTGGGTTGAAACGTGCACCCTTCCAGTTCCTTTTTTTCCCTTTCTTGTGCAAGCTTCGCTGCGCTTTTGTACCCCTGTCGAGTGAGTCGCCACGCCATCAGTTTCTCTTCCTTCTTGGAGAGACGATTCATTCTGAGATACTCCCGCAGTTGATCGGGATTTTGAAGCAGTTCGCTTTGTATGGCGGTGGCTCGTGTCTCTCGCTCCCGCGGTGTTAATAGCCGTTGTGTGCGTGCCTCCATCTCTAGTCGGGCGAGAATCCTGGCATGAAGCGTCTCATCCAACTCCTTCTGCTCCCGTTCCAGTTCTGCCCTGCGGGCCCGTTCCTGCTTCGCTGTCATGGATTCAACAGCCTCTTTGTAGAGACGTTCAAACAAGGCGTCGTTTGCAGCAGTCGCATTTCCATTTCGTGTGCTTTGGAACCTGTCAATTTGACCACTCTCCCCCCGGGTAGAGGCTTCAAAATGAAGACGGTCAAATAACTCCTCGTATTGCCGTTCGTGTTCCCTGCGCCACTCGTGACGCCGCCTCTCAACTTCGTCATTTTCTGCCAGCAGACGCCGTTTAGCCTCATCTAGTTTCATGTAGTGAAGAATACGACTGCGACGTTCGTCTCGGTCACGGCGGTTGTTCATATGATACAAACGTTCAAAGGGATTTCGAAGCATCGCGTATTCCGTTGTCATATCAAACTCCTTAACCTCATTGCAGACCATGTCCATCTCATCAACTAGCATAGTCACAATTTCTTCCTTTTCTTTACGTCGCCCAGGTGTTGAGAACTCTAGCGAACGATACCGTCTCAACCGCTCTAACGCCGGGCTATGAACAGCCCCACGCCGCAACGGTGTAGCCTGCGTCTGATGCAAACTGGCGCTGCCGTGTGGACGACGAGGTGAATAAGATGCCCTACCACGATACGGGGAAAGTGGTACACCACGCCGCTCAAATCCTTTTCTCTCACGTCCCAGGCTGTTATCCGAGATGTAGGAGCGCCCAGAAAGTGCACCATGCGACCCCCATCTCTTCCGGGGTTTGTTGTCCTCTGAAAGGCTACGCATGGGCACTGCAGGGCATGACGAGTTACCTCTTCTACGGTGGCTGCTTGTTCGTGCGGCATTTTTGGAGTCCAACGAGGCGCAACTTCCCTGACCACCGCGTTGTGACCCCGACCCAGCGCTCCCTCCACGCCGTGAAGCGCTTGACCCTGGAGTAGCCCGCCCCTTGCGACCGCTCTGCAAGCGACTTTCACTCTCCACCAGTGCTCGCCGCCTATAGACAGGCGCTGTCACTGCCTTCTCTTCCGGAAGCCAAGAGGAAATTCTATGCGCCTCCTCAGCGTGCTTTTTATTTTTACAGCTGCGCTCTTTAGCGCATGTGCTCCATTCGTGCACATTATCCTTTTTTGTCTTGTTCCCATGGGTGATATTTGCACTGCGCCTGCCATAATCTCCAAACTGCTGAGGATGCAGACTGCCCTTGTGAAACGTTTCGACGGGGGAATCCCGCACAAATAGGAAGGTACTCGGTGGGGGCGACTTGGATGTACGGAAAGTCTCGTTATCCACGGCAAATTCTATAGAAGATGCCCCATCATCGGTTCCCGCTAAATTATTGGGCTCAGCAGCGCCCTCCCCATCTGAGACACCCACACCTTCAGTGCTCGCCAGCCCCCCGACTGGGGTTGGCTTTGCCGGAAACGCATGCGCCGCAGATCTTGACGGGTTAGCCTCGCCGCCGTGGGCCTGAGCGGAAAGGTTCGCCTGCTCCGCCTCCTGGGTATCCGACGTTGCAGTCATTGTACTCATGGAACTGTGAGCCGCGGAACCAGTAGAAACAACCTCTGGAGATTGCTCGAGAGCAGCAGAGCACTGCTCTGGTGTTTGTGAAGGTGACATTGATCTGCGTGTTTGGCGTGAGCAGTAGGTGGAGGAGTCATCGTCCATCAGGTTCATTGTGTGCGACCGCCCACTTCGTTTTCCACCGCCGTGGTTGACTCAATAAGGAAAAATTATTTCCAAGAACTTTGTAAGCTGTGACAAAAATACAAACACAACTAAAAAGAGAGAAGGCAAGTAAAAGAAAACGCCCCCTATAGATAAAGACATATAACAGGGAAAAGAACAAAAACAAAAGACCTCAGACACTTCAATTCAGCGACAAAAGACAAAAAGAATGAAGTACTGAGAAAATGATACAAAAGCAAAACAAACGACAGTCGCTGAAGGCACTCTTCATCCCTCATGATTTTTCTTCCCCATTTGCAACAAACAGATATATGTGTATTACACAAGAGTGTGGGGTAAAGGGAGGAGGGGGAAAAAAAAAAACACATGACAACTAACGATAGAAAGTTCTGGTTGATGCAGTAAGGCAATAACAAGGAAGCGATCTTCAGCCCAGCACTCCACAAAGTAAAATAACGAGGTGGCTCGTTACCATCATCCTCCTCTCTGTTATATCTGGTAGGCTTGTTTTAATGCTAAAGCTCCAGGTGGTCGGAAAGACGTTGAATGAGGCCCCGCTCCTTGTCGGCAGAATTGTCTCCGGTAAGCTGCCGCATTTCCCGCTGCATCTGTAAAAACAAAGAAATAGTCGAAACCTTTTTCGCTTCCTGAAGTCGTTGAACCATGTTTTCATTATCATGCATGAAAAGCCGTCGTGTGGCGTAGGCCAAACCCTCCGAGTAGTCATCTAGAGACCTTTGCAGCTCCAAGACATCTGACTCTTGCAATAGTCCTTCATTTTGCCCTGAAGGCATTGGCCGCTGTTGCTCCATTAACCGAGATGCAATGCCCAAGTGAAAAGGAATAATAACATCACTTGGGAAGAAAGAATTTCCCTCTTCTCCTCGCGATTCTGCCTCGGCGTACGGTGACTTTGAGGCACTGGGGAAAGCAGCCCCAGGAACGGACTCATTGCGGAGGCCTCTTACCAATGAAGTTGCCGTGAAGACTGACCCCGTGAACTCCGTAGAACGCACCGTTGAGTTCTTTGGAGCAGGGCATACCTTGCTGTACATGCGCTACCTACAGCAATGAAAACAATTAAATACGAATAACAGCAAACATGTAGTGTGTAGACGAAGGCATATCGTTTATATCGAGCCCATAGTCTCTGACGAGACACTCACACGCCGCCAGACACCAAATCAACAACAACTTTGGTTCGCCTATGCATCAAATGGGGCTGAACACGTTTCCTTGCATATTCCTATTATTATTATTAAAATTGTACCACCCTTAATCGCATGTCACAAAACGGAGACAAAAAGATAGGGGATATCCAAAGTAAGAAGAAGGGCTTAGCTCTTCTCACCTGCCATCCTTTGCCATCTTCGCCCTTTGACGCTCCTTCTTTCCTGGACGCCGATATTTGCCCGACTTACTATCTCGTCTCTCGCCATCGGCCGAGCTCTTCATCGCCCCTTCAGTTTGACGCCGCTTCCGTGCAGGGGAAGCAGTCCCCATGGCAGACTGTTTCCCCTTTTTATTCCCCCTCTCCAAACGAGAGGACGGCGTCTCGCCTTCACTTGCACCTTCTCTCGACATCTCTGCCGTTGACGACGCCTTTGTATAATCATATGATACACGTAGTGCCTGCAAAAGAGCCGAGTTCGTCGCCGTGCCGCTGCGATGCTCATTGTCACCTCCCGTAAGCACCGGTGCCATGCGCCTTAATTCAAAACTATACGAGAGCTTGACGTCTGCATTCCGCGTCTCCATCGCAGCGCCACACGGCCTACCACTCATATGCTTATGACTATCATTTTCCTTTAGAGACGATGCAACATTCTCCCTGTGTTCAATGACCTTTAACGCAGGCATAAGCGACGTCATTGTGCTCTGCCACGCCAACAGAAGTCGTGAAAAGAGTGCCAATTTACTTCCCTGCAGCAAGCCATTACCAACAGTCACGCCCCTGTTTCTCACGGCATCCTCAGCACATGTGTTGATGCAAGCCACCATGTCTTTACAAGCGCCTGACCTCGACCGCGGGCAAAGGCTCTGCAATTGCACCCTGCGAAACGCCCCAGTTCCGGATGCTACAAGCGTATTCCCCACATCCCAGTCCAGAACAACATTCTGATTAGAATGGTTTCTGCGAGAGCGTGCGGCAGCTACAGCTGCCTCCACCGCTAACATCCCCTTTGTAGCACTTAGCAGCACCCCCTCATCCGCCAGGCCCACAAGAGGAAAGTAAAATGTCCTCTTCTTTGTTAGACCCAGCACCCACAAAAAGGCAGCGAGACTGGGAACAACAACTTCCGTCTCCATCAGAGGTCGCGTGTCTAAAAAGGTTTCCTCTAGTGCAGAGTCAAGATGAACATTACAGGCAATTATGTAACGAAGTGTCGTGTACACCGCTTGAGAGAGGAACAGCAAGGCCCTCTCCTTTTCTTCCTCAACAGGGGGCCGTGAGTGGGCATCGGCATAATGAGCAGACTCAAGAATGGCCCTAAGTAAGAAGCAGTCCACTGCAATAGAGGCAATTTCATTTGACTGTTGCACTGGACGCGACAACACGTCAAGATCCAGCAAAGAGCGTCCCATCTCCTCACAACCAAATTCCGCTGTGTTATATTTCATCCTGCAATACGCATTCCAGCAGGACTGGATGTCCACCTTGGTTGCACCACGAACAACAGGAGGGACATTGCTGCCGTTACCCATGAGAACAATAAAAAGAAACACCAAGTCTATAGAACTATTCTGGAGAATTTCAGCCTCAGCAGTATACTGTGCCATCTTCACAGGCATACAAGCAGGCAAACTCTTCACTTTCCCTCCCTCATCAACATCACTTACGTCACTATCAGAGTCACTGAGAACAACACGAATGCCAGTAGCTACCATTGGTCCGTCCTGCTTCCGGCGGTGAAACACATTTTCCCCTTCGTTATCTTCTTTCTCCACACCCCCATTCTCAGTGCTGGGCTGTTGGTGCTCCTGAGGTGTCTCCTCGCCTCCATCAGTACCGCCTAGCACGTCCACACACTTGGCAATATAAGCCAAAACGTGTGTGACTCGCAGAAGACACATCTCAAACATGGTGTCATGAAGCTTCGTTGCAATCGTCACGGTGTGTGGTGCAGGCCCGCATATAGCCCCACAAAGAACATCCGAGTCCTCCGAAACAAAACAAAACGTCGGCAACTCTTCCTTGGCAGCAAACGCCTGCATGACAAGTTGCCTTTGAATATCGAGAATCTTGTAGTCTGCTTCCCCTGCAACCTGGCGACCACTAACAAGAATCTGTGGCCGCTGCGCGTCTACCGAGGCGAGTTGCTTGTAATGCCGCTGCAAATCACCACAGAGTCGTTGGATGGCGACATCTGCGTCGAGCACTGTGGCGTGCGTTCGGTAGCTCCTTGACGTTCCAGCACGGTGTCGCTGGGCGTCAATGGCAAATACAACTGCTCGACGCACCTTCAGCTGCGGTTGCATAAGGAACTCCGCGAGGGTCTCAAGGCCAATGGTTTGACACGCATTGGTGGCATCAATCAAAATGAAGTCAAAACACACCGGGGCCGCGCTTGCACCCTTCGTCATCCGGCATAACGCCGTCGGCGAACTGCGCGCGGCAAATTTTAAAAAATCCGGAATACCCATACTCCGTTAAGCTCCAGTGACAAACAGACGCACGCACGCACAAGCACTTTATCAATCGCCTCCGCTAACCCCCTTTTTTCCCTTCTATTAAACCCACACACACACACACACACACACACACACACACGGTGAGAAGAAAAAGATACCAATAAAAAGAATATCTTCAAATGACAACGTAAGATCCACATCCACACATGCAAAAGGGACGCAAATAATAATAATAATACGGGAAAAAGAAAATAAATGGATGAGAGGCGGATAGAAAAAACAAAAGACTTTTCCACAACTACCACACCTGCATCACCCTCGTTCCCGTTCTTTCTTCCGCACTTACACTTCAGTCGTTGTCGATTGTGTCCTCTGCGTCCGCCAATTCAGCACGAAGCTGTGACATTTTATTACTGTGTTCTCTTTTTAAACGATCCAGCGCAGTCGTATCACCCGATAATTCGAGATCCGACTGAATCTCATTCCACAAACTCAATGTTTTCTCCGTCTGAACTTTGGCATCATGCAGGTCCTCTGCAACATACACGGTCCCAGCGCTCTCCTTCGCCTCCATGATGAGCTCACGCGCCTCTGCAAAGGCCTCCATTAATGCCAGAAGTTTGGCGGACACCTCGGGCCTCTGCAGGAAATTCGAGCAAAGGCGCCGTGAAGTAAACGAAACATCCACGGCGGTGACAGCGACACAAGCCACAGCTCCAGCGCGCCTCATCCGCAAGCGCCCCGTGGTGTGCCGGCAAATGACAGCACCGCTCTGTGAAAATGGATGTTTTTGCACACGCGCGAGGGACATAAACCACATTTCCTTTCACTCACACTATTGTAATCGCGGCGGGTCCACCAATGCGTCAGCCGAAAAAGCAAGGAGGCACATCCTGACAGTAGCAGTTTACATAAACACGCAGAACTGCGTCCCCCCCCCCAAAAAAAAAAAACAAGCGCGCACACACAAAATAAAAAAAAAAACAGACATTAGAAGGGACATCCCTCCGCCACCATACAAGAGGGATGAAGAACATGCAGAGGAAAAATCGTGCAAATACATCAATCAATCACATCCTGGGCCAACAGGAAAACAAAAAAAAAATCACACAAGTCAGATCAAAAAAAAAAAAAACAATGAGGTTATAATCAAACACACACAAATTTATTTAGAGAGCGAAAACAAAAAAAAAATACACGCAGTGACCCAAAACAAATAAATAAACCACAAGAACACGTCCCCAAGAAGCACTCCAGTCAACACAGAGAAACAAAAAACAACAACATTGGTGAGTACAAAACGCATGCTAGATTACCCCCACCCCACCCCTCCCCCCCTCACCCAAGCAGCGGTAACACATGTGGCTATACATGGCTAGACATGACCACAACATGTGTGTGGACTCAACAGGAACACTAAGACCACACCATCCTGCCGAAAACACATATGCACATGAATCTGTGGAACTAAAACAAGAATAATGGGATAACATCACTATTGACTCCGTTTACGTTAGGTTTTACATACCGATTTAATCACGACCCAAACGTTCTACGAAGGCAAAGACAGTGTAAACAGCACACTCCACAGGAACACAAAAACAACAACAAACCAAAATAATAATAATAATAACACTCATTGAAGGCAAAAATTGACGAGCCACGTTCACCACCCCCACCATAATTAACACCCCTACATTCCTGAACATCTATCCTTCTGACAATAAACTTCGTTGGTTATTGCCTACCTCTCAGAACACCCCCCACTCACCAATATTCTTAACGGCCCCGACGACAACGGTACAACCAGACCAACCATCCAGCAAAGCAACGTAACAAAACTAAACAGAACAAAAACTCTAAAGGACCTTTAAAATCAACACAAAATTACTACAAAAAAAAACATTATCAGCAGAAAACAATAACCCACCCAAATCCCCTTTTCAGACCACCTACCATGCTCATCTCCACACAAATCATACGGAAACAAGTTTCCTACATTCGAACAAAAAAAAATATTCTAATATTCACCAAAAACACATACAACCTGTCAAACAAAACTACATACAAAAATAAAACCACAAAACACAACCATTCTCCTCAAACACTTAAAACAACCCACCAACGCTGCTAGTCGTCATCAATTCCGAGAGCCTCCTGGATCTTTTGCATCCACTCATCCCGCTCAGGATCACCACGTGCCTGAAAGAGAAGACGCTTTCCTGTCTTGAAGGCCACAGCAAACACGTGCCGCGCATTCGACCCCGTGTACTTGCTCGGGACAGGGAACACATCCTCCAGCTCGGAAAACGGCGTCGCAATGCACTGTTGCCGCATCGTCTCCTTCGATACAGCCAGGACGAGGTCCAGGCTCTTGAACCTCGGCATCCTCCCTGCATCGAGACGCTCACCCTCCTCAAGTGTCCCGCGTATGCACAGGTACCGACGTTTCCACGCAACGTCACCGCTTTGTTTCCTCACGATGCCTTCGTACAGCGTGAGGTCCCCTACGCTTCCCATTGGGGTTGCCCCCTCCAGGATCGTTGTGGACGCAGCAGCAGTCGACTGTGATTCCTCCATTTGCCTGACGGCAATGCGTTTCTCCTCTTTAAGAGAC